TTAACCTAAAAATTTTGGTATAGGAATAATCAGATCACCTTCACACAGCAGTTCACCTTCACACAGATCAGCAGTTGATTCTTTGGCGATGGGTTGGCTGAATTAAATCTTGTTTGCAAAGTTTTTCATGAGTACTTGAGTATGAGTGGGAATTTGGCTATAAAGTACTGGGCTACTCTTCAACGCTGGCGAATAAAAAAATAATAGTTACTGAATCTAATAAAATTAGGTTCAATTTGAAGATGCATTAGAGTAAGTAAAAAAATCAACACCCATGCACACGTATGTCATGCCATCTGCACTAGACGTAAATGGCAACCAGCTCATCGACCTCACGAGACTAACAGTTCATTTCACTTTTATTTGCGCCTCCAGGTTTTCTTCCTCCAAGTGTGATCAACTGTTTATTTTCATATGGAAAGGACCAGTAGGTTTTGTTATCCCCCAGCACAGCCACCAGGGTACCTTCCCCTGAGAAGTCCCTCCAGCTATTCGACCTCCAAATGTTATAGTAACAAAACAAATAAGGAACCAAAATCGGACGACTTGTTTATCGTCTGTAATATAGAGCCACGTGCTTACAGTCTCCTTGAATGAAACCCCTTCGTTTTCATTCCCTTCTAAGAACACCAACCTGTCATCCTATAAACGGGACCGCTATAGGCTGTTGCCTTCAAATGGGACCACCAGGTTATCGTAACTCATGTGAGGCCGCCACGTTACCACTCCTAAATTGAACCACCAAATTACCGTCTCCTAAATGGGACGGCCATGTTATCGCCTCCTAAAGGGCCCGCAAGTCTGTCGTTCTTATTTGATCAGCGCAATGCGCAATTTACAGCTACCTCATGGCGCGTGTCAAGCATAGTAGGGAGATAACTTTGCGCTGCAAATTGCCTGCCAGTTGTGATTTGTACGTTTAAAATCAAGCTCCTGTAAATCTGAAGGCAGAAATAAGAAAAAATCCCCGCCACAATGCGATGAACACTAAAAACTGTGTATTTATTTCGTGATTATTGATTACAAATTGAGAGGAAATAGCGAGCAGAAGCGGAGCCGGGATGTCTCACGCAGTAGCCCATGCTAACGCCTACTCACTCTTGTCAGACCGGTGCCATTGATGGACTCTCAGCTTGAAATTGTAGTCCACAGATGACTCATGACGACGCCAGACGCTGCGTAGAAACAAGTTTCGTTTGCTGGTATCTGAGCGTCTGATGGATGTACTCTTCTTATCAAACTCTGTCTCTATTGAAGCCTCCTTTTGAGTTGTAGTTTTGAATTAGAAAGTCGCAGCAGTGGGCCAGTTTACTGACTCCATAAGATAAGAGAGTGATTAGAATTTTTGAGGCTTTTAAACCTGAAAGTTGTGGTTCAAAGCATTGGTCAGTGTTATGAATAGCATATAAATACCACGTGTGTTTTTCTCCAGGCTTTATAATAAGTGGTTTAGTGATAATATATTAGATTATTTTACTAAAATACAGGTGAGTAATACGATACTCTAGTTCTGCTCATCTCCTGCCTTGCTGTTTCGAATGATAACTGAAGTTAAAATTCACAAAATAAAAATTCATATAATATTAAATAATTTTATTGATCGTTTTTATTCAACGAAATCAAGGTTGTCATGTAACTGTTACTGAACTTCTTATAGGAACACTAGGGTGATTTACACCAGGAGTTTTGTTTCAAAATTCCAGTTGTACATTGGCTGGAATGTTTAGTGTGAAGAAGAAATAGAGCTTTAAATATTTGAAATAGAAAAGAAAAATATTCCTAGAGCTTGCCTTTTACATCTGAATTTTTAAGTACTGTAGTTTGGATCATGGATCAGTTTCGTCTTTCTTGGAGTGTCGTTTTCTCACTGCTTTATCATTGACTTGCTTCTGCTTGCAAGTTATTGTCTATAGTTCTTGACAATAGGCAGAAACTGTGTTGGTTCTCATTTGTAGGTAAACATTTCGTTGTTTTAATCCATCCCTGCAACGTTTCTTAATCCAATGTTATTGATCTCTCTTACGCAATTAATTGCAGCTATATAGCTCGATAGATAACACTTTTCTTCTATTCCAATGAGTTCCTCATGATTAAATTGAACAGAGAACCAGCTAAAAGTAAAAGAAGTGTGGCGCGATTTCTTGCAGTGGCATAAAAAGTCTTCTAAATTCTCAAATGGATAGACGTCGCATGTGCAGCTGATCTTTCGGCGGCAGGATCAATTCCTGGAAAGAGCAAGACAATCACTGCCTTGCATATAGTACCAAGTGGTACTTTACTTAGTGTCTAGTGGTACTTTACTCAGTGTCTAGGGGTAGTTCGTCTTGTGTCTAGTGGTACTTCGTCTAGTGTCTAGTGGTACTTCGTTTAGTGTTTAGTGGTTCTTCGTCTAGTCAAGTGTCTAGTGGTACTTCGTCTAGTGCCCAGTGGTACTTCGTCTAGTGCCCAGTGGTATTTCGTCTAGTGCCCAGTGGTACTTCGTCTAGTGTCTAGTGGTACTTCGTCCAGTGTCAGTGGTACTTCGTCCAGTGTCTAGTGGTACTTCGTCTAGTGTCTAGTGGTACTTCGTCGGATTCTCAAAATTTTTCCAATAAACAATTTATTTTAATTTTCGAATCAAATAAATGGAATATATTAGCATATACTGATATTCTTATGAAGATAAGCTCTGAATTTCCACGATCCTGATCCCTATTTTTGTTTACCCTAAAATCTAAAACTTAAAGTTTTCTAATAACCAAGAAAATATTCGTGGACTGACTGCGATAAAAGTTTTCTTTGAGTCAAAAGAACATTACGATGCTATAAATACTCGTAGTGCTTGCAATATGAAGCATTGAACCGACTGAGGCTATAGTGAATTTCATCTATGGATGTGCTTCATTTTAGTTTGCATTTTACATTGAACTTGCCTAAGCTGATAGCTCCAGCGCCACGTTCTAAACTATTAAATATCTTGGACGATTGATACAAATGAATTGAATTTCATCTTGTACATTCTCATAAAATACCAGAAAACGTTTTGTGTTGGTGTGCAGCTTGGGACTGGGAATATTTGAATGCCTTTGGAGCGCAAATGCTCGAAATGTTTTTGTACCTACAAATGAGAAACCTGGAAATATTTCATTACAAAAACTTATCAACTTATTATTAGGCAAAATCTCGTATGTAATTAATGCCATTAAATCACATGAGTAACCGTAATCGTTAATTAAGGTACAGATTGTAATCTCGCTTCTGCCACGATTAAATCGATGATATACAATCAGATACAATTCAAGCTCGATTACACCTGACTATCCATGAGTGTTAACATTTTCAGTTAAATAATTTGGAAATTCTTAATTGCTATTTCAGGCCTCGACGACTAATATATTAGGATATTGTATGAATCTGGTCTGGCGTACATGGTTCTAGACTAGCCTCCATGGGTCTAGACTAGCCTCCATGGGTCTAGAATAGCCTCTATGGGTCTAGATTAGCCTCCATGGGTCTAGAATAGCCTCCATGGGTCTAGAATAGCCTCCATGGGTCTAGAATAGCCTCCATGGGTCTAGAATAGCCTCCGCAGGTCTAGACTAGCCATCGAGCTTTCACGATACTTATTCGAATTTACCACGACTGAATAGTTATATTAATAAGGACGTAATGCGCAACAACTGTTCAATGAATATACTTTAATGGGTTACATAATAAATATACTAGTAATAATGTCACTCCTTTGCTTGAATCGCAAATTCACTAAAAACTCATAAGCAAAGAAAACTCCACAAAAATTCAGAGTATCTTTAAAGAAAACGTTTCGGAGTCCAGCTCCATCGTCAGTTCGAAAATTCTAGAACACAGATAAATCAGTGATTAGTACAGTCACTGTACTAATCACTGAGTGTACTAATCACTGACTGCAATCACTGACTGTACTAGACTGTACTAATCACTGATTTATCTGTGTTCTAGAATTTTCGAACTGACGATGTAGCTGGATTCCGAAATGTTTTCTTTAACGATACTATGAATTTTTGTGGAGTTTACTTCGCTTTTAAGTTTTTAATAAATATACTATAACAAAAACTATTGATGAGCACTATATAACATGTTGTTGGACACGAGTAGCGAAAAAATATATGGCTAAGGAAACAAACGACGCTTTGGTGTTCCCACCGAAAGTATTATTAAATACGGACCAGGCAATAAGTCCAGCAGCTATCTCAATCAATCGTCAGTTATGGAAAGATCGGGTTTCAAAGGCCGGATCCCTTGTGAATCAAGTCACGAAAAGTTCAAGAATCGGCAAAAGGCCATGGGCCTATTTCTTCAGTGCCGACACTTCTATTCTATTCTATTCTATTCTATTCTATCATCTAACGTCGGATTACAATTTGGGCATAATGCTTGAACCCTTCACAATACATTTTCTACGCGTACGATTACAGGATTTGGGATCAATTCCAATGAATTGATTGAAAAAGTTATTGCATGAACATTCAGGGATTTATCATTTCAACACAAATTATTGGATATTATTAAAGGCCGCTTAAATTAGTACTAGTGGCCTATTGAAAAATTTGTACGATCGACAAGACGCATAAAGTTCGTTTACAATTGATTTGAAAAGCATTACGATCGCTTAGCCCACAAGGTTCGATGAACTATAATGTTCCGAATGAAAGTTTTTTACATTATTTACATTCTATTACATCATTTACCCTAGAAAAAGTTTAACTATAGTTATCGTTTTGTACCCAGGCTCGGCATCTCTGTCATGACGGTGGTCAACTCTACGAAGAGATAATTGCCGCACTTTGACCAATAGTATCTGCCGGATTGAGCTGTTCAAATTCGTAGATCGTTGATTCAATTAATACGAAAAAATGTTATAATTCGCCGCGAGTATCGACTCGTTGATGCGAATATTTTCCAGTTGGTTATAAATAGAAATCTCTATTATCATCTATTCATTCCGTCAAACTTTTACAGCATGAAAAGAATGAAACTCTATACTCATTCTCATCATTTATTAGAAGCTTCAAAAAAATCGTTTAATGTGCAATTGAAAAGTATGTACGACACATAAACTTTTAGTTCTTTACCAAGACTTATCGTTGAACAAAGAGTCTTTCCTCTACGTCATGTATGGGTTCTTGGCGACGAAAACTTTCGAATGAAATGCAAAACCTTAGTTTTAACGTTGAAAACAAGTTCAGGAAATTAATTTACAATTTTCGGTAAGAAGTGCGTAGGTTACTCCCACGTTTTAGGCTATAATCTCGATCAATAGTGTACTTGGTATCCATATGGAAAATGGTGATGTCCGAAACCATGTCCGAAACCGTGCCCGTAGCCACCATACCCAAAGCCACCATGACCAAATCCACCATGACCAAATCCACCATGACCAAAGCTACCATGACCAAATCCATGGTGTCCACCAATCACCAAACCTTTGACGTGACGGCTGTTACGAATCCCAATGTCCTCTGCTTCGGGAAGGGGAACTTCAGTAAAAACTTCATTACCCGTTTCGGGATAAACTTCAGTGTATATTTCTGGGTTGACTTCAGCGTACGCTTCAGAGAAAGCTTCGGCGCTTGACAGAGCTTCAGTGTTCGCTTCAGCTTCAATCTGAGGCACGGCTTCAGTCACAGGAGAAGCGCTGCATGCTGCACTGCAGACCAATAGGATTGCCTGAAATATTGATAGCAATTTAGGTCGTAGTCCATTATTAAAAAAATCATAAACACTTTTAGCGAAGGCCGAAATAGAAAAATTATTTCGGCCAAGATCGTCTGCTGTTATTACTCACAGGGCTCTGAAAGCAAATAACTCTATAGGCTTGCTTATTAGAAGGGACTGGAGAGATTCTTGCTATACAAAGCATTACCAAATATCGATTTCAACTCTCTTAGGAGAAGTTATTCAAGTTTCAAATGAAAAAGTTGTATTCGACTAACATTAAACCGTTCACGGCTCGAAAAAGAAATTATTCGCTAGAGAGACAATGCGCTATATTCTAAGTATTTGAAAGTTGCTTTCTGACTCAAATAACGAACTTAAAAATGCGAATGACAACAAAAAATATTGTTGAAAAAAAAACTACCATCTAAAATGTTTGTTAATAATATATAGAATCACAAACATTTTAATATTCCAGCGTAATACGGAACTTCTTAAATTTTGAATTCATTATACATAATTATGGCAGCATTTGTTTGGTTGTAAACGCTGGTATAGGGGCGGTTGTAAAATGAATCAGATCTTCATTGAAAATGTTTCTCAGACCAGTTCCATTATCAGATGGAAATCCTAAATAATACATTTATATTCAATGAAAAGTTCGAAATTTGCAATGGAAAGATTAAAATTTTATTACTGCAGAAGGGGATTAAAGACCTATCGATTACCCATTTTATGTATTTAAGAACTGTAAGCGCTTCGTTTACTTTAAAACTTTTGAATCGCAATAACCTAATAATAATTTGATAAAGAAACATTTAGAAACATTACGCTATACACGGGAAATTGTAAACATAATGATTTTGTTCACAATATCGAACTTTGCACCTGGAGATAGGAGGCGATTCTACTTATGGCATTACGAACTTACCATGAATAACTTCATGTTGCGTAGATTTTTAGCGTCTAAAATGTTTTCCTCTGAAGAAGCTGAGACTTAAAATCTGATGGTTACTTGTTTAAATCTGATGTTGTGATCACGGGCGAGCTTTCTTTTATAGCTCTCATATCAACTGGTTTGTACGTTTTTTTGTCTGGTTGTTTCGATAGCCTTGACCTCGATCATTCTTATCATCAGTGCTGGAAATCCGGTCCTGATACTGTTATAGCTAGGCTGGCTATGGGTGAAGTTAAATAACTAAATCAAGCTTGCATTGAGTGAACCTCGAATTCTTGACTTTCATAGATTCAACAAACATAAACATCTTACTACATAAATTGAAATATTTTACCGAATTCTAGGGCGAGTGAAGTACATGTGAACTCCAAAGTTGGTTCTTGTAGAAATGGGAAATTAGCCAGAAATGTTGATTTTCGTTTCCTGTAAACATTGAATTATTTAAGGGTATAACAGAAATATTGAACGATGCCAAGAACAAGTGGTGATCATCGGAGATTCACTTGAAAATGTAATGAAAATAACAGTCCGAAAAAAACTGGAAAAACGAATGATTTTTGCTAAAAAATTGTTATAAGAATAAAATCCTATTTCATTGAATATTATTTGATCTAAATCGGCGGCTGAGAAAATTTCAAAGTTGTATACTAAAAAGACAAAAAAAATATGCAGAGTCAAACTACACGGGTTTCTGCAATCGAACATTTGTTCAGCGGCATATTTGTTGTTTTCTTCAATTCGTACTAAAATTTTCAACAAACAACATATTTCAGCCAGCAAAACGAAACGAAAGCGAGTCTCTGAGCTTCAATGACCCACGAGGTCCTCCTCAGGTCAGGAGTTCAAACGTTAGAATAACAATCCGAAATTTTACAAGATCATAAGCGTACTAATTAGAATATGTACTGAAATCAGCACACAATATCAAGTTAGTGCATCACCTAGATTATTTCAGTGGCGTTCATCAGCTCAAAGTTGTAGCCAGTCGCTTTTTTTCTCTTAGTGCCCACTTACAGCAATGATTCGCTCAATAAACAAACTTTAACCTCATCATGCATATAACTTGCTTCTTGCAACTCAGAATGAACAAGTCGTGACGGTCACCAAAAGCATACAACTGATGTGTCGGTTGATATGCCAGGCGGCATCAATGAATTTCGAACAGCGCTTTAAGACTGTTTGAGTTCGCGTGGCATTGCGATGTTGCGAACAACATAAGAAAATTATTATGTATTTGAGAAAATATTTTTAATAGAAACATTTTTGCGCGTGAAAAGATTCTCCAATGTCAACTCAGGAGAAGTATATGATAATTTTATATGAACAAATAGTAGCAATAATAATTATTCATGACATTCGCACATAATGAATGGCTTTCTTTCATCTCAATTTATTCGTAACACAGCCACCATGCACAGTCAAGCAAGCCAAACAATACAACTTCGCTATGCAAACAATGTTATATACAAATATTTAGTAATCTATAGTTTAAAATAAAAACTTTACTTCTCTTTGCCTACAATAACATTATTTCTAATTATTAAATAAATAAGAAAATAAGATTATTCTGAAAAAAATAGAATAAATAAATCCTTTGATTAGTTAACTAATTAATTATTTATATTCTTTTAATATTTATTGATCAAAGCTAATTGGTTTCATGAAATTTACTGAATTTTTCGTAACAATTTAATTTTTTCAACGTAGGTTCTGGTGCTGCGATAACTTTTCCAATGATTGTGCCGGCACGAAGCCATGAACTTAATGATAGTCTTAATTGAACTGCAATTTTTGAGATACTCGTGAATTTGAACGCCGAATGAGCACTGATAATACGTTCTTTATAACGAAAATTGAATTTAGTAGCGTGTTTACGTACAGCTGTTTGATTTTTTCGTATGCATGCTGAATAATTAGAGTTGCAAGTTCATTAAAAGGAATTTCAAATTAAAGCTTTATAAAGGACCACACCATATTTTGAATGAACTTTGAATTTACACCATCTCAATACATTTTTAAGATTACCATATTTTTTGACGGGCAAAAGGGGTTATAAAATTTTAAAATAACGTTGTCGAAAAGTAGTAGGTAAAAATCGTCTTGAAAATGGAACATTGTTCTGAACTAAGGGTACTCCGGTAATAACCACGTGCCACTGATAGGGTTAGGCTCGAGGGCTAAGACTCAAGTTGCTGTGGAGCAGAGCTGACAGTTGGCAACCGCTTCTCCAGCGCAAGACATGGCAGACGTGGATTTATCCGACATACAAATATTGGTCATAGAATTTTTTATGTAATTCTATCTCTGGTTAGAGTGTGTGAAAAATTGTACACAGTTTTACTTAGAGGCAAATGCAGGTACACAGAACTGCTTATGCGCCTGTTTTGATACATAATCGCGATTGTCAAGTTCGTCACGTGATTATACAAGAAAATATATTTCAAGATGCTCATTGTAATATTTTATTAAAATTACGTTATCGCTGATTTTCTTAAATTATAGCTGCGTGTAAATGACTACACTCTTCTAACGTGTTATTGCGAATGAGTGACATGTTTTTTACCATATCCCGTTGAATAAAAATTGGAATGAAGAATTGAAGATTGACTGATTTGCTCATTCTCCAATTTATTCATTGAAGAATGAATAAATTGCCACCGATTAACGAGAGCTTATTTACAGGAACAAAAATTGGGGACAATGATTTAAAGAAATTTCACTGTTTTCTATTGAAAGACATATTGACAAAATTCCTCGCGGCAGTAATGCGTATCAATGAAGGTAATTGCCTGGAGAATTACAGAGAAAATACGATTCCATGAGAGTGCGAATGGTTGTTAAATGTTAGCACTGATTTATGTATGAGAACCAATAAGACTTTATGCTTCGTAGAAATTATGTGTACGGAAAATTTAAGATTCAGGAACTCGGGGTTTGTAATTGAAATTTGACATTTTTCCAAATTTTTTATATCAGTCACGCCGTAACCTCGATAAAATTCTTGACACGATAGTTTATTTTCCAAAAACTATCTTATAATTACGCTGAACTCGCCTATTACTAGCATGAAAAATGCATGGGAGCCTATTCCTTCATTAAATTGAGGAGCAANGTGCCTAGTGGTACTTCGTCTAGTGTCTGGTGGTACTTCGTCTAGTGTCTGGTGGTACTTCGTCTAGTGTCTGGTGGTACTTCGTCAAGTGTCTGGTGGTACTTCGTCTAGTGCACAGTGGTATTTCGTCGTAAAGTACGCATGGTGCCACGAGCTCTACGTAGGTGCATGAGTTGGCCTTACAAACTTCTTAAGATTGAGATGACAACATTGGGATACATGCAGCAAAAGTAAAAAATAAGTATCTTTTCACGCAATATGCATTGAAAAAAACTGGTATAGAGAACGAAATATTGTTCCTTCCGGTTTATGATTAAAATGCAGCTAGTTTCATCATGATTTAATGTTATTTGTCTTTGAAAACAATTCATTCTCACTTCATCATTCACATTTTGTTTCACGTTTCATGCGGTTAATGCATTTTGCATTGCTAAATTGTGGCAGAAACGGAGCGGATTCTCAAATTGTTTATATAATAAACAATTTATTTAAAAATTTGAATCAAATAAATGGACTAGATTATCATTTACTGATATTCTTATAATGATAAACGCTGAATTTCTACGATCCTCATCCTTATTTTTGTTTACCATAAAACATGAAGTTTTCTAATAATCAAGAGAATATTCATGGACTGACTGCGATAAAAGTTTTCCTTGGGTCTAAAGAACAATACGATGCTATAAATACTTGTACTGCTTGCAATTTGAAGGATTGAACCGACTGAGGCTATAATTAATTGCATCAATGATTGTATTTCATTTTAGTTTTCATTTTACAGTGAGCTTGCCTAAGCTTACAGCTCCAGCTCCATGTTCTAAACTACTCAAGAACCAACACCAGGGGCCACGGCTATAATCTAAAAAATCTGGCCCAGGTTAGAATCTCGCTCCTGCTACGCCAATTAATTTGATGATATACAACCTGAATGCAATTCAAGCTCCATTACACCTGACTATCCATGCGTATTAAAATTTACAGTCAAATCATTTGGAAATTCTTAATTACTGCCATTTGCTGGTACAGGCCTCGACGACTGGTATATTAGGATATTGTATGAATCTGGTCTGGCGTACATGGCTCTAGACTAGCCTCCGTGGGTCTACAATCACCATCAAGCTTTCACGATTACGAGGCCATCGAATTCATCAGGACGGAATAGTTATATTAATAGGGACGTAATGAGCAATAAATTCATTGAATATACTTTAATGGACTTACCAAATAAATATACTATAAAAAATATTAATGAGCACTATTTAAAGTGTTGTTCACGATCGGCGAAAAAAATAGGGGAAGGAAACAGACGACGCTTTGCTGTTCCCACCGAAAGTATTCTCTATATAACGTCTGATTTAAATTTAGGCATAATGCTTGAACCCTTCACAATACATTTTCTGCGCGAACGATTACAGGATTTGGGATCAATTCCAATGAATTGATTAAAAAAGTTATTGTATGAACATTCAGGGACTTATCATTTCAATACGTACTATTGGATATTATTAAATGCCGCTTAAATTAGTACTAGTAGCCTATTGAAAAATTTGTACAAGGCGCGTAAAGTTCGTTTACAAATTATTTATAAAACACTTCCGATCGCTTAGCGGCCTTAGCCCACAAGATTCGATAAGCTATAATGTTCCGTATGAGAGTTTTTTTTACATTATTTCTAATCTATTACCTTATTTACATTCGAATAAGTTGAACTAAATTATTGTTCTGTACCCAAGCTCATAATCTTCGTCATGACGGTTGTTAACTCGACCAAAAGATAATTGCCGCACGTTGACCAATAGTCGCTGCCGGACTGAACTGTTCAAATTCGGGGATCGTTAATTCGATTAATAATAAGAAATGTTATAATTCACTGCCGACATCGACTTGTTGATGAGACTATTCTCCAGCTGGTTATAAATAGGAAACTTTATTATATCTATTCATTCCGACAAACATAC